TACATCATTCTAAAACACGGCGCTCAAGTTCAAAGAAATTCAGCTTCTAAAACATGTCTCTAGACCTTGCACTTTAAAAAAAAAAAAAAAACTTCAACTGACCTGTCTCGCGACCAAAACAATATCTGTGTGAACCCTGTATTCTAATAGTTGTAGTAGTAGCGGGCCATATACATATAAATAATACTAATAATAATAATACATTGTAAAATATTTATACTTTTAAATTATACTTTTAGATTTGTTAGTATTTGTTGCACTGCCTAGTATTTCAGTAATGAGAAACTAATGAGTTTTTTATGAATTTTCATGAAAATAATGTTACAATGCAAAATCATCTCCATGTTCCTATGGAAAGGCTCCATTTTCTTAAAGGGGACATAACACACACAGTTTCTGCTAATCTCATGTCAATCTTGAGTACCAATAGAGTAGTATTTCATCCTTCATATCTCCAAAGAGTCTTTAGTTTCATCACATTTATAAAAGAAAGATACAGCTTTATGATTCTTTCCAAAAACAGCTGAGCTCTTGGAGGCGTGCCGTGGGCGGAGCTAAAGTGTCACAAACACGTTCGTGTTGTTTACATTATATGCACCTACGCGCCGATTGCCAGCAAAACACAGAAATTTAATGCAGTTTTACTTACCACCTACGGTTCTGACTCATGACCGGGATCTTTTATCACTTTTATCGCTCCATCTTTCAGTATCAAACGATCTGCAAATCCAGCGTCGAACTGGCCCTTGTTAGTAATACATTAGTCACTGAAATGACAGGAAAATACAAACACACGTGCACAACTCCGTTGCTGCCCAGAAAAAAAAAAACTGCATCCACTGTTCCCATAACGCTGGGTTCTTTGGGAAGCTGAACAAGGGTATCTTTCCCTCACAACCAAAAACTTCTTTGAAGACATTCTTCTCGAGCAAGTCCTGTGCAGCACTGCTGACGACTTCCATAACCGGAATGAAGAATGTTGATGGGAGTGCTTTTGCTCTCGCTCTGGTTGATGTGTGCGCGCGCCCTTCCGGGAGAAGTGCCCATACAAGGAATTCCGCCCTTCATGATGTCATGAAGGGCTATACTTGAAAAAAACTTTCAGAAACTTATACAAACCCTGAAGGAGTGTATTTGGCACAGAAATACTATGTCATACATCCAACTTGTTTTTTGAAACTTTAGCCATGTTTATCATGAGAATCCAACTCTTTAACAGTGTAAATAACTCAGAATGCATGAAATAGCATTAGACCCCCCCCTTTAATGGTTCTAGAAATATTAGGGATGGGTGTTGCCAAATACCTTACGATAAAATACGCATTGCAATGTGTCACAATTCTGTCAGAGTTCACTCTTTTTTTTAGATGGTTTGCTTTTACTTTAATTGAGCCGTGAGAAAGGACACGAATTAACACATTAACAAAAAAAATATATTGATTCAAGCACCTGAAGTGTCAGTGCAGTATTCATGCATTTTTCTGTATTCTAACAATAATATGAAAATTAAAATAAATGTAAAATAAAATAACATTTTGGGATGAAATATGACCCAGGTGTGTTTTTGTTAGATTCAGCCAAAAACTGCTTTTGGAGCATTAACTGTATCCAGGTGCAGTTTGGCTCCTGAGGCTGCGGTGAAGGGATGTGGTGTGATGTGTTTCGCCCTGGAGTGTGTGGAATCTAAACTCCACTCATCACACATTAGTCACGGCAGCTCCCATACACAGCAGAAATGACTTCTGCCCTGCTTTAACCCTGAACCTTTGTTAAAGTTACCAGCCATTTAACAACAGCACCGATAATAATGTCAAAATATCCTGTTGACATATCCTGTAGATAAGCTCCTTGATGGCAAAGCAGTATTAAACCTTATCTTTCTATGACCTTTTCCCTATGTGGGGATTCTCTCATGCACATGAACACACACAAACATCTCTTCACATGAACGCTCTCATAGACTAAGCATTTACACAGAGTGGGTTTGAAGTGTAGGCCCCAGGCAGTTTTTGATGGGTGTTGCTGCTGACAGAGGTTATTACTACAGGGGAGTCCTAAGAGATGGAAGAGAACTTTCTGGAGCATTTCCTGGTTTCCTCAGACTCTCCTTGCGGCTACTTATCAGGCAAAGGAGAGCGAGCGAGAGAGATGTGAGAGGAGGTATGCGGAGAGGCTGTTTACTTTTTCTTAACCCCTCAGGTATAGGGAGGTCAGAACAAACCTTGGCGACGTCCATGCAACAGAGGCACTATTTCCTCCTGTCTGAAGATGAGCAATTCCTACTGTAGACTAATAAAAGCAATTCAGGAAATGGATGAGAAAGGATGTGAATTGATTTGCCAGAAGGGCCTTGAAAAACTTTTAACATTCTTCTGTCAATGTGATGGATGGCAAGCGGCTATGTTGCATTATTTGCATCTGAAGGCAGCAGAGAGTTTATGCTAACTTACTATATAAATTGTAAATAAGTTTTATTTATAAAATCAATTAAGGAGGAGACACTTCATATCTTTCAAGATGGCAATAAATTACTGGGGTCATATCATACACTTTTTTTTCCCCTCCACTTATTTTTTTGTCCATTTAAAATATTAGTTCAGAAAAACAACTTTTACGATAAATAGCCTTTTTGGGACTCAGAAGGAAGTTTTGAGTTTTGAAAGTTACAGTATACTTTTATATCAATAAACTCTTTTAGATTGAAAGAATAAGAAAATTTTTAATCCTCGTATAACTGTTGTCTAATACACTTTGTATTGTATAAATTACTTTTGTTCCTCTTTTGTAAGTAGCTTTGGATAAAAGTTTTTGCACAATGCATACATGTAAATGTAGTGTAACTGCTTTAAAACCAGTTAAACTCTGCAGACCCGGATACGGGTCCAAAATCGCGTAAAGAATGTTTATGCTTCATTTACATAGCCTTCCTTATATGGTATCAGCCCATATATGGGTTCATTTGAAAGCTTGGAGTGTCTTCTTTACAAAGAATACAATTCCTTTTGGTTTTTATATTCATAAAGCAGTAAAATTAAGCTTAGAAATGTATTCGTCCCACACACGAATTTCCGCCTAACCATTGCGACATTTTTTTACGAAGAATGTGTATTTGATATATTTTTCACAAAAAAGTCAAGTCATATATCACAAGAAAGCTCTCATTCTCAGGAATTTGACGATGTAGATTATTTCATTGTGTGACAATCACAGATCGAATTATCTTCGATAGAATCGCGATGTAAAATTTTGTCACCTCTGAGCGAATTTACATTTATACTCGTAGCACTGCTTCAGTCAGCCGCAAACAGCCACAAATATCTATATACTCTATATTATCTTTTAGATTAGGATCTCTTCTTTCAAACAAGACCATTTTCACGTTTCTGCGTGCTTCCATCGGTGAGATATATAGCGTTTTGTCCAGGTTGCGAACAGAAGCGCACCAGAGAAAATTGACTCGCTTCAGATATAATGTAATAACTCCTGTTTAGAAGCTGTTATTTGAAAGATTATTTTTTCTGGTACTTTTTGGCATGTAGTGGCATCAAACAAAGTAAATTGCAGAGAGCTGGACCTAATAGAACCTGAATTACAGAATTTCAAAAAAATTATTTGTTTTAAAACTCCAAAAGCGCCTATGTTTTTTTTGTGTTTATTGTAATATTTGAAGAATATATAATGTTATTTATAAAGAATTACACTCATATTTTGTAGTTCAAAGGGTTTTCTTTACAATGAAACCATTTTTTTCATTTCCTCCATTGTATGTGTGTAGGGTAAACATTTGAATTTGAGTATGTCAAATTTAGGCGAAAATACCAAAAACGCCCCAGAGAATATTAAAGTAGATACTAAGTTGTAGTAACTTATTTCATCAAGTAACTATGCAGTAACTGTTTTTTACCAAATACAGCACAATTCAGAGCCACATTTTCTGTTTTCTGACCCGGTTTTATGGTTCAGATGGGCTTCAAAGCCTCAGATGGGCATCAAAGGCAGTGCGCTACCCTGCTCCTACCAAGCCACCTACAAAACCAAAAATCAATAGACATTCACTATCACAGTCGGTACAGCACTGATAGGAAACAGCAGCATAAATTGGTGTTAAAAAGTGCTTTGATTTGTAATTAGTCTTTGAGCAGGTGTAAAACGGAAAGAGGGACAGTATTCCAAATGAATACTTAAATCAAAACAAATCAGCATGCAGTCACTGTCACTTGAAAGCAAAAATGTCTCAATGAAAAGCATTTACATCCTAGTAGTATGTATGTAAAATGGTTTGATTGTAAAAAAAATTCCCTGTTTGAGAGAAGTAAGGTAAGCCTGAGGAAGGTTGATTGATTAAAACGTTGCAAAAACATATAGGCATTGTTTTCTATTCCTGTTTGAGGGAAGAAATATTTTTTGTGAGGTGAGGTGAAATATGAGGATTCTCTGTAGAGATGCTAAGTGAATTTGAATTGTGTATGTATTTACTTGTGTATATGTGTGCGTTTGAATCTGTGCGCATATGCCGTACAGAGGAGAACTGTGATGAATGTGTCTCACTGTCTCAGACATGTGGAAACATACCTGTGAGCGTGAATGCAATGCAATCAGTCACTTAGGACAAAGAAAAGAGGTTTTGAGGAGGTGTGTGCTCTTCAACTCCACAGCAATGCAGCCCCAGTGTCTCCCTCCATACCTGCTAACAACAAAACTACTTATTTATCTCTGAGCCTTTTATAAGCAAAAGAGCTCAAACTGGCCCAAAATATTTACACATTTATTGTAGTACTGTTTTATAATGTTATGCATGATATTCTTTAATAGTTTGAAGATAGTCGGCTGAATAGTATAACAAATTAATTATTAATAATTCAGTTTTATTCAATTTTGGTATAGCTAGTAATACCGTCTCTCCATAAATGGATCTCATGTGATGATGTTAAATTGAATGTGAATAGTGACCCATAAAGAACTCATCACCAAATTATGTTGCATGTTCTGAAATTACATTTAAAGTGCCCCTATTATTCCATTTTCAATATTGCCTTTCATGCAGTGTTTAATGTAGTTATATGTGAACGTAAACGATCTGCAAAGTTGTAAAGCCGAAAGTGCACGATAAATAAAGTTATTGTTTCCCAAAATAAAGAATCAACTCTGTACAGACTAAATGAGTCGTTAGTAATTCGAATCCCACTTCCGTGACGGCTACACATCACAAGGTAATACATTTGCATAATTCCCGCCTATGTTCTACGTTGGCCGTCCTCAAACAATATGACCCCGCCCACAAACACGTCATTCTACTGACGACTGCTTCTCTAATCTGGAGTAGTTCAACGCGGGATTCACAAAACGCTTGCTCTTGAAAGATGGCTCAGTACCCAGTTTATTTGACCCAGCTGGCTCCACTGAATCACAACCTGTAAGTATGATAAATAATAGATGTTTAAATTTTCTATCGAGCGTTCAAAAAACGTAACTATGGCAATGGGCGTATTGTTTCTGACACGCGCTGTATGCGGTGGACCAGTCACAACAGACTGGGCCATCTGACCAATCAGAGCAGAGGCTCACGGAAAGGAGGGGTTTAGAGAGATCTTAAAACTGCTTCAAACCACTAGCGTAGCCAGAAAAGAGACTCTGGGTGTGCATCAGAATAACTGAGTGTGCCACATTTATTGTCAGATTAATGTGCAAAATACTGTGACTAGCATTACAGAATAGACTGGGCTGATGTGTAAAACTATACTCAGGCTCGCCACATAACCATAAAACTATATAAAACATAACTATATTTCCCCTTCAGGAACTCGAGCTGCATCGAGATTCGCTTTGGGAACACCCCTGCGTGACCGCGTTCTGAAGCACGTGTAAAATCAGTCCAATGGAGCAGCGAGACGTCACGAGCGGGGTGACGTGAGCGCCAGGAAGTATAAAAGCGCATCCGGCAGAGCGCAAGTTAGCTTCTGCTCTTTAGTAGCGCTCTGTGTATGTGTCAGTCTATTTACTGTTGTCTGTCAGTCCACAAGCATTCAAAAGAATATGTCAAAGTCTAAACTAATATCTATGGCGAGCAAACGGCATTACAGACGTTGTGTGCCTCCCTGCCCACGCTATCTGGCAGCAGGGGATACACACGATCTGTGTGTTGTTTGTTTAGGAGCGGCAGAGCGCAAGTTAGCTTCTGCTCTTCAGTAGCGCTCTGTGTATGTGTCAGTCTATTTACTGTTGTCTGTCAGTCCACAAGCATTCAAAAGAATATGTCAAAGTCTAAACTAATATCTATGGCGAGCAAACGGCATTAGAGACGTTGTGTGCCTCCCTGCCCACGCTATATGGCAGCGGGGGATACACACGATCTGTGTGTTGTTTGTTTAGGAGCGGAGCATGCACGGTCAGCTTTCGAGGAATTGGCAGCGTGGGAACTTCTGCCAAATATATCACGATGGGTCCGCTCTCGCCTGGCTGTGTTTGATGAG